TCGTCCCGAACGGTACCCATATGTACCAGGCAAATTTAAAAATCCCTGCTTGTGAAATGAAGCATTTTATTTGGTATAAATCTGTACCGGTCCGGTGTATCAGGCTTCCGCAGTGTACCTACAACATGCATTGTGGATATTTTGTGATTATGTCGATTTAGTTAGCACGTGTATGTAGTAGCGGCAGTATTACTCTAATAAAATTAGTTATTTAGGACACTCAAAGTGCTTATTTATGCAGTTTTTTGATGAAGTTCTATTTGCTATTCAACTGTAATTAGTGTTTTTACAAAGGTAGGTCAAAACTATGTTTTATTTTTGTGTTTTTGCGTGTAATATTCATGTGGTACATATATGTACCATCCGGTATTTATGGTGGTACACATGTATACCAACAGGTCTCTAATTACGTTTATTCAGTTTCAGCTTCAATATGGATCGCCGCCATCCGCTTGCACAAAAAGAGCTGGAAGCGCTTATTGAAGATATTGAAGAAATCTCAGATTCGGAACCATTTCTGCTGACTCCAGTGACAATTATGAACCAGATTCCGATGAAGAAGCAGGCAGTGATACGTCCGATATGTCTAACTCAGACATCCATTTTGCGCCTTCACCACAGGTAACTGTTGGTAGAAACCAAGTTCTTGACTGGGTCATTCCTGATGAAACATTTGAGCCTGCTAAAATCCTTCCTCCTGAAAGAGAATGTAAGCTGGCTCCAGATATCACCAAGCAGTTGACACCTATGCAGATTTTTCATAAAGTATTTCCTCATTCTCTTTATTTGCACATTGCAAATTGTACAAATGAACGCCTAAAAATCATAAACCAATTAAAAAGGAGGAATGAGAACATGACTGACAAAGGAGAAATACAGAAGTTAATTGGCTGCATGTTCATTATGTGCTACAATCGCCTTCCAAGCCTGAAAAATTATTGGAGTAAAAAGGAGTCAATGGGAAATAGCACAATTCAAAAAACTTTTTCAAGAGATCGATACATGACTTTGAGCTCAAAAATGTACTTTGCTTCTCCTCAGAAACCCCCAAATGCTTCAAAAACATTATATTGAAGATTTGTTATCTTGTTTCAAATACACGTTTTCAAAGTGTCGCCAGGATAGCCAGTATCAAAGTATTGACAAATCTGTGACCAAATTCAAGGGTCGATCTTCTTTGAAACAATATATGCCCCTCAAACCAACCAAGAGGGGCATAAAACTATGGCTTTGCTGCGATGCAGATTCGGGCTATACGTATGATGTTAATGAATATTCTGGAAAAGAGGACCCAATTCCCGCAAAAATCAATCACTAACTCTGGGAGAGCGAGTCGTAACAGCCCTTGCGTCTACAGTCAAAGAAAATAATGTAGTGTTATGTTTTGATGGTTTTTTTACAAGTGTGAATTTGCTACTTACACTAGACTATGCAGCCTTGGGAAACTTACATGGCCAATCGCAAGAACGTACCAAACTATGGGAGACAAGCTGCAAAAAAAGGGAATCTCAATTCAGATGCACTTCTTCGGGATTACTTTATGTAAAGTGGCAGGACACAACGGAAGTTTTTGCTGATGAGTAACTGTCATAAGCCCAATTTGACAACAATTATCAAAAAAAGCAAAACCGGTGAAGTGGTGGAAAAAGTTGAAATGAGACGTAAAAATGAGAATATTCTTTTCTTTCTTTCCTCACCACCCGCAAGAAGAATTAATATCTGAAGGTATACAAAATACAAGCTTACCATTACCAAAACAAGGCGCCCCTTCAGAAAAGAAAATTATATGGTGCATCAGCATTACATCTTCCTGTGGAGGGATCAACAAGAAGAAGATCCACTAAATGTTCTGAAGAAAAAAAACAAACAAGAACAAAACTCTTTGCGAGGAGTGCAACATTCCATTGTGCAAGTTCTGTTTTATATTGTATCATACCAAATAGCTATTTAGGTTCATTTTTTTCTTGCAAAGCTGTTTTTGTATTTTTTCTAAATAAATAATTCTTATACCATTGTTTTTTCTGTTTTTATGAATTTTCCGATCATACCTGTTGGTACGCATGTGTACCACCATAAATACCTGGTGGTACATATATGATCCACCCCGCTCCACCGTTACCTGACCAATGAAAAAAATATATATTAATAAAAACTCATTGTAAGACATCCTAACAATAATATTTCACACTGTTTATTATTTGGGCTAAGGTATCTGAATTCAGGGACGAAAGGGTTAAGGTGGGCACGCGCGTTCCAGAATATCCCTTCCAGCTCCTGTGGTGTTTGTTATGAACTAATTCGTTACTTGAAGGATACGTTCTAAATAAGATTAGGCACATAATGTTGTGGGTACATAGTACTTTTGGGATGCATCGTTGAAAGTCAGATGTCGTCTTGACATTTGGAGGGAACATTCTGGAAGTTTTTGTTTTCTTGTTACTTATTCCTTTCTGTTTTGTCTCATTGTTTTCTGATTTACGTTTGAAATTGAACATTTTTTCATCAGAAATTGAAATAATTGCATTTTTGTGCATATTTATTGTAGGGCAGTGTTTTTCCATTTTATGTAACGTACCATCAAGGAAATATTCTATAATTCCATAACACAGGATCATGTGGTACAATTAGCGTTTGGTAGGTTTATGAATGCACACAACTAGAAAAGTCGTTCTGGCACGGTTGGAACTAGTTTTTCTTTCATTCAAGTTCCGTGAAAGAAAGTTTTTTGTTTTAACAGCAATTCGATAAGATTGTTGTGGATTTATTATAAAATATATCTACCGTACCTTATGCAATAAAGTCGAAAAGTCAAACTGCATCTGTGTTTTTGGTTCATGATCAGCCCATAACCATAACCAGTCGTACAACCTCCATAAATCTTATATCAAAAAAAAGGTTGTGGATCAAAAAACGTGAAAATATATAGGGTCTCTATTTGAAATGTTTGAATCATAAACTATCAGAAAGCTATGGAAGATATGGTAGTACTGCAGCTATAACAGTTTCAGAGGTGCGAGTTGTCAAAGTTGAATGTTTTCTATACATTGTCCAATATCGCATTGTGTTCCAAACTGTTTTCGTTTCGGTACCATATATAATAACAGAGTTATATAATCCTGTACGATCTGAACATGAATTGAACATTTTGCTGAACGAAGGTAATAAAATAGTAACAATTCCAGTTAGTGGAGACACTTCAACTGACTTAGCATTTCGAAGATAGCTTGTTCCAGCTTAGGTTAAAAAACACAACAAGTAAGCTGAATAAGAGGAACAAAATTTTACCGAACTAATGCTTATCAATAAGCCTAGCTGCGTTCAAATTCACCCAGACATGCAGAAAATGCCAATTTACAGAATTGATAAACGCTAATGTACAATTCTTGTCGAGTGCTTCTGAAATCCAAGCGCATATTTAAAATCGCTGCTGCAACCGCAGCACGAGTATTGCATCGCATTCGGAGTCCGATCCAATTAAGCAAAATAATTAAGGAGTTCGTGTTAAATAAATTCGCTGATGGACATAAAGGAGGGCCATTATAACGCCTGGCTATCGCGACTCACACTGGCGTAACCTATTCCGTCTTTACCCTATGGGCACACGAGGGCCGTGTTCAGGACTCCGGCTTGGTGGGGGCCATTAGATGCCCAAAAATCAAACGAAACTTGGAAATGATTTCAGAGTACCCCGCCCTGCTCTTTAATTGCCCCAACCGCAAAACGTTCTCAGGGTGCCGTACACAGCTTGAAACGGCCATGGACGTAACACAAAAGTGGAACGGCTTGCAAAAAGACAATGATCATCACAAAACTAGGTGCCTACCAAAGGTCAGTTCGAGGCCGATGTTCGGCTTTGGCCAAAGCTACAACTGATGTTCGGCTTCATTACAACATTCTGCCGAAGCCGAAGCCGATGTTACGCTTTTGTTACAATCTTCAGCTCAATCAAATTCGGCCGAAGCAGAAGCCAATCTTATAAGTAGAAATTTCTGTATAATGTTTAATGTTAAATTGAATCTTGTTAAATAAATGTGAAAATTGGGTTGTGTTACAATCAGATGAAGATATTATAGAGCTTATAATATTTAGATTACCTACGGGTAGGAAATATAGCAAATCAGTTAAAGTATATCAGAAAAGGACACAAAAAGTTTTAGAATTCGGATTAGTTGCACTAATAACCGAAAATTTCTGAAGTGGTACACTCGTAACGTTCTGGTAAGGAAATGGTTAATATTCATATAATATATAGTCATTGTTTACTCAATTCACAGAAACTCCAGAGTTGCATGATTTCATAACACTTAACATGTAAAATAAATTTTTGCCTGAAACATTTTTGAAATTATACCTTCCAGTTAAAAACCATATACATGATTTGGCTCTGTATCTGTCACGAGAAAGACCCTAAACGTAGAAGTCTGCTGCTTTAGGCCTAAGAATGAACACCCATTTCGCCTGTTTCCAAGACTAGACTTAAGATGAGTTGCTAATGAGCACGAAACAGCGCCGTCTGCGGCTGGTCATGGTTATAGGAGATAGAAGGCAAAGCTTGTGAGCCGTGTCTTTTAATCCATAAATGTATAGAAAAGTCATTGCTGGTTTGCTCCGTGACTACATAGTATTCCGACCACTTGATAGTCGACTGTGACGGTGCGATGAGACATCTCTGTACTTAGAGCAGAACGTCGAGCGGTTCTGGACTAGAGCACGTAGGGGTCTCTCTATCGTCTTCAACGTACGCGATGAGGATGGAGATGAACTTGGCGAACCATTGGTAGGTAGTGACCGTCGATTTTCACCTACTTGTGCACAACAAAATTCTATGTTTATGGAACAAACCATTCTTAAATTATCCTTCGAGCTCTATTTTTCAGTAAGCCATCAAGCCATGGTATTATCAAAAATTTATTTTAAGAAAACGCGTAACATATTTTCGATTATGTTGTCAATCGAAATTAAGCAAAAACAGTGATTTCGAGACTTACATAAAACTTATAACTTTACAGTCAATGGGGCTTCGATACCTTATTGCCCAAAGCCCTACAATTAAGACATTGACACGATATTTATCAACGCCAATCAAATCAGCAACATTGCGGACCTAATTTGAATGTCACCAAAACTGATTGATTTATCATTACTTCAGAAAGTCTCATAACTTTTTTCACTCGGTGTAGCCGTTTAGGCGGTCAAAATGAAAAGCTGATTTAATGTTGTAATTGGGCGCTATGCATACACAATCGGTAGTTTAAATAACTGTACCTACAATTATCAGTTTATTACATCAATTATCTGCTTGTTATATCGAGTATTGATATGTTTGTTTCATAATTTAATGAACTTGTTATCTCTGTTCCTTGTGATGAAACTTTTTACCGATAGCATTCTGACTTTCACTTGTGCGGTCTTGAGTTCTAAGACAATTTGAGATCACTAGGAAGATTGACATAAGATACATCGTCAAGGAAAAATACCTTTGTCTGTACCCTATCAATAAGCCAGACTCTAGCTAACCATATTATAGGTCAGTTGAAATAATGAAGTTGGTATTCTGCACATCACTTGAAAACTCTTTGCAATTGGAGTTGATAAAGGCACCAAATACTTCTAGTTAGTTTTTAGTGAGAGCTCGGCCGATAATGCTGTCATTTCGCATGGTATACAGTGTGTTTCACAACTTATCCGACAAATTTTAACCACATATGCACGTTTACGAAAGACGATTCTCATAAAAAATGTAATAAAAGTCCTACAGAAATCCAGATCATGAAATAATACCATTTAGCAGTTCACTCACTTATAAAAGCCGTTCAAAATTGTTTCCATTGACTGCAATGCAAGCTTGAGCGCGTCTAGTCCAATTTCGGCGCACTAATTCAAAAACACCTATTTTCTGCTGTGACCGAAGGCTCTAATTATCGGCAGCCACTGTGATTCGGTCACGCAATCCTTCAACATTCTGAACTGGAGTACGGCATACCTCATTTTTCAGATATCCCCCATAAAAAAAATCCCGAGGATTTAGATCGGGAGACCGTGGAGGCCATACAATTGATCCACCGCTTCCGATCCAGCGTATCTGGTATACCTGATTCAAAAAATCACGAACTTCTAAACGAAAATGCGGAGGTACTCCATCATGCAGGATTCACATCCGTGCTCGGACCGCCAATGGCACATCTTCAAGAAGGACCGGCAAATCATTCCGAAGAAATTCCAGATACTGTTGACCATCCATCCGATCTGGCAATATGAACGGTCCAATTAGACGTTCATCGACAATACCTGCCCACACGTTAAAAGTAAAACGATGTTGGAAGTGTGTCTGGGCCACTGCGTGCGGATGTTCAAAGGAGAAAACGTGTGTTTTATGAATATTGGTTATCCCATTACGATTAAAAATAGCTCCATCGGTGTCCAAAATATCAGCTGTAAAACGGGCATTTCGAGCATTTTCTTGCAACAACCACTCACAAAATCTTACTTTCAGGGGGTAGTGTGTAGGTAGCAACGCCTGGACTCTCTGTACGTGATAGGGGTACAGTTGGGCCTCATTTTATATGCGCCACGCTGTTGCATGTGACACTTCTGGGACCTGTTGTGCTAACTGCCTTGTGCTTATTCCCGGATTTTCTTCCACAATATTCTAAATTTCGTCTTCCGCATTTAAACGCATTGTGGGCGAACCCGACCTCCATCCACACGTCTGGGGCGCAAATCACCACTAGCACGTGCATGTTAAACAATTTAACTAAATGTTTCGTGATGTGGTATGTGCCTATTCGGAAATCGGTGAGCCTACAAACCAGAAGCCGCTCGCGAATTTTGCC